CACAAATAAGGCTTCAAGTGTATTTATTCTTAACCTAGATGACAGGTACTTGAATATCTATTATATTTTTCATCTATTTTATATATGCCTTAAATAGGTCATAAGAAATTTTAAAATAAATAAAACTTTTAAAATACCTCTTATTTAAAATTTTAAGTAACAGTTCCCAGTAAACAGTCTGAAAACAAGTCTTTTCAAATGTCGACAAAGGAAGTTGGGATTTTGTGATGGCACACAAATAAAAAATTAGAATTTATAGATCACAAGTGCTAACAGACACATGTTCATGTAAAATAAGGTCAGAGTTTCTGGCCCAACCACATCCAGAAGAGTAAGTGAAGAAAAAGAAGCAGCCTGGACCATAGATGTAACCCCAGATGGAATTTCTGCATTAATATGCTGGACTCATAAAGCATATAGAACTTTTCATAGACGGAGATAATAATATGGTCTGGTTATCTTTTGAACTGAGGTAGAAACATATTTACCAGCATATCATAAGGTTAAAAATCACATTCCGTGTTATCCTCCACAAAAACCACATTCCAGCTTTGTAAGATACTGCCTTCTATGCAGTCAGGACCACAACCTACGGGCATTGGTGGGTCAGTTCTAGGAAACCCTTGCCTGCAGTCTCATGGGCAAAGATTAAATGAGTCTTCATCAAGTTTTATAAATGATAGGTGATGTGTCATCTTATGTTCTGACTGGTTGTTTTCTGAAATTGTGGGTGTTTATAAAGAGACTGAGACTCCCAATGTGGCTCCCAGAGGGCCACATTCATTTAGCTTCCAGATGGTAAAAGAACATAGAGGAAAAGACGGCTCTATAAACATACAGATGTCCTGTAACACACGGGGCAGTGCGATCATTATTACTGGTTGTTATTCACCCTTACAAAAGGTAACACACTCTGAACAACAGGAAGAGATTCGCTTGTTATGCATCATTACAAAGTTATTTTGCAGTGAAAGCAGTTAATGACAGAAAATATTTTACTGCATACATAAATATGTAAAGATATATTTATCACAATGGGATTATGTTTTGAGAAGCACATGATTATGGTGAATGATGGATGGAGATGATTAAATAAATCTACTCTTATGTAATAGATTAAAACTGAAATTAGCATCAGACATTCCAGTGTCATTGCCCTTATCCATAATAAATTGGACTTTGAAAACACATTACATGTTTTTTAAAAATGAACTCATCATTTCTTAATAACTTTGCTAGGCAATTTCTTTCTTTACCAAATGACCTGGACTCCATATCATTATCAATTAAAACTGCCAAAAACTTAACTGGAAATATCATGTATTTTCTTTATGCCAAATAAAAGCATTATTACTGTTTCATGTCAGCTAGGGAAGTTAAAAAATCATATTCCAAAAACTTCAGTCTTCTATAATAATAATTTATCTGTAAACCAGTCACAGGGCCATGCACAAAGGAAATTATTTCCTTGTTTGAAATCTCTGCCTTCTGTGATGGGGGAGGTGGAGATATGCTTGTATGAACATATTCCTTTGTTCCATAGCCTCCAAAGGATTGCCAGTTAAGTGCCTTCAACTGTATTTTTGGAGCCTAAACCCAAGTTTACAAATGGCATCTCTTCTATTCTGATATCATTTGCATTGCCTGGAATACTGATTTTCTTTCCAGTATCACTTGCCCAGTATCAAAGTGAACATACTGGAAGTCTTGAGCTTGTTCAGTTTTTAGCTGAATAGTGCAACTGCCCCTTGGCATACTGTCCAATCAAGGTAAGAAGCATCTGTTTCCACCAACACTGTTTTGTCAGCTGTGATTGCATTCTGGCAGTTGCATTAAGCAGCTGACTCCAAGACTAACTCCATGTCTTTCCAAACATTATTGGTCATCCTTTTCTACCTGATAAATTTTAAGGATGGTAGAAGTGGATGGAAAGCTTTGTTCTCTGTGGATTTATATACACTGAAGAATCAATCTCTGACCTGCTTTCTAAGTGTAAGAAATGTGTGTCTCAGTCGGAGAATTAAGAGTGCCTTGTCAACTGGACCTCTTGAAGAATATCTCTTTTATTATACCTGATTGGATAGGTTTAACTTGAAATTCATTAGGTCAACTGAAGGATTAGTTATAAAGAATACAAACATGCTGATGTGAAATGTGAACAGAAAGCAAACAATTAACTTAAAATGAGCTTTTAAAATTCATGGTCTTTATTTTTTCCATTCAAGTAGGTGTTTTTGTAATTTTCCATTTAATTATCATAGGATTTGCATAGCATGCATTATGTCACAATGTTTTTGGTTGTTTTTGTAGGCAGTCCTTTGGTCAAATATGGCACTGGTTATCACTAATGGAATGACAGTAATTATATTATCTCTCTCAACCTTAAATTTTCATCTACAAAATGAGGATAACAGCTTACTTCACAATGTGATTCTAAGGATTTAATGAAATGGTATGTCAGTGATTTGCCAACTTCAGTAAGCATAGTCATCCGGCACACATATTTAAATGCAGCTCATACAGGCTACAGTTGCACAGATTCTAAATTAGAATGCCTAATGTCTTGGTGGTGTGCAAGAATATGCATTTTAAGCAGGAACCACAGTAATGTCAATTTAAGTGGTCAGTGGATACTTAAGAACCATCAATATATGCAAATTGAGCAGCACAATGTCAGGTTAAGGATTTTACTGGTTCTAAGAATTAGATAACATGGAGTTAGAACTCTAGTGAGATACTGGTGTCACCTACAAATCCTCTCTCACTACGGTGTTGTTTAGCCCTTAACGAGAGGTAACTAGAGTAGTGATCCATGCTTAGAACCAGTCCAAAGCCACTTACCATTATCAATGTATTGAATCTCTGAACATATTCTCAGATTCTAAGTCTTATATTGGGTCAGTCTTTCTGATATACATGCAGATACACAAAATGCAGAAATTTCATTCTCTCCACTGGCAACTGCTCAAATTTCTAACTACTGCTCTGATATTTATCTTCCTAAATGTTCTGCACGAGTCTAAGTGGCACAGGACTGCTGTCAGTGCCTGGCTGTTTCCCTTTAGATTTCCTGGAAGGCCTGAGAAAGGCATCTATCCTTTGCCTCTTTTCATGGCCCCATCATTCAAACGTTCTTTCAGAAACATCTCAGTGAAAACAGAAAGATCTTTCTGCAAAATAAAGTAAATCAAACTGGAACCTTCACAGAGTCCGTGAAAATGATCAATAGTTTATACATTTATAAAATGGCCAGAAAGTACAATATTCAATAAATAAATAAACTGCTTTTAGACAGACTACTATCCTATATCCTTCTCTGTCTGTGGATTGGAATGGTAGTTAGGGGAATCTTGGGAACTGGTGTGATTTCAAACAACCACCTTAATAGGACTGTCATAATATGTAAATAAAATAGGATACTAGCAAAATTATGTGGTTTGCAAGGAATCATTTGGTGATCCTTCTCTTTATGGTAGTATAAAAGCCAATAAACAGAGACTAATACCCTCAAACATTGAAACTTAAGGAATCCCTTATTAAAATGCAAATACGTCATAACAATTATCACATACTTAGCTGCCCTGTTGGAAAACTGACCTAAACAAATTGGTGTTGCAAATTACAGTTTTAAGACACCAGGAATATAGAAAGATGTTTCCCAAGCACTGGCAGAATGTCTCGGAGGGCAGGGGTTTTGCTGCCACATGGGAACATGCACCAGGAGGAAAGACACGTGCAATAAAAAGGGGTAGATGAGGAGAGAAAGGAAAAGTGGACAGAATCAAACTGAAAATTCAGTTACTTCACAATTTTTCTAAGGGTTTCCCTGTCCCTAAAGCATCCCGGGGGGCAGATTGGATTCTGTGCTAAGGTCTAGAG